TCTAGCATTCACCCTTGCACCCTAAGTTCTTGCAGCTGCCCGAGCCAGGCGAAACAGACTTTGACCCTGGAACTCCCTGCTTGGAGCCCGGCCTTCTCGCAGCAACATGTGGCTCCTTTCGTTTAGGGTTTAGGGCTTATATAATGTCATTTCCGAAGCAGTGGACCCTTTACTTCGAGGAAGGCCAGGTGTTTTTTGCATAAGGCAGCCACTAGTTTCTCAATCAGTGTTGACACGACTTAGGCAGTTATGGCTTGACCCGTACTAAAACTTACGCAACTTTTGTCTCATGATCCTTCGAAGAGGCTGCCAGTGTTCAGTTTCTCTTGACGCCCTGCATCTAATTAGTAGGGATCGGAGCCCGGCAAAAGTAATCGATCACGACTGACAAATGACACCATCAACAGATCTATAATCCCTGCGAATTGCCAGCCCGAAAAGCCCCAAAGCCGAAAGTAAATTCCGACGCTGAACTCCAACTTTCTAAAACCCTGCATTCCAGAACCCAGAAGCCCACTTCAGGCCTAAACCCTAAACCCCTAAACCCTGAAGCCCTAAACCCTAAACCCCCAAACCCCTAAACCCTAGACCCTAAAACCCGAAACCCCTTAACCCTAAACCCCTTAACCCCTTAACCCGTAAACCCTAAACCCCCAAACCCCTAAACCCCTAAACCCTATACCCTAAAACCCCTGAAGCCCTAAAACCCTAATCCCCTCAACCCCTAAAACCCTAAGACCCTAAAACCCCTGAAGCCCATGTGGCCGAGGTCGTCCCGAAGATGCCAGACCCCGAGGCGCTGGCAGCGGCACAGCGCCTCCAAGGCCCCGTCTATGAATCGGTCGCTATTAGGACCTTGTAATATAGGGGCCTAAATAATTACATATACTATTGTTTTTTTTTTGGGGGGGGGGTCCTATAGTATAATGGGCCCCAAAACTCATTCTAACTATTCAGGCCCCTACATTAACGGTGTTGGGTGGTTTTTCTTCGGAAGGGGCTCTATGGGATTGAAACAGGATCTTTGGGTTCAGGCTTTCAGGTGTCCGTTTCTTGTGCGTGCGCATGTGTGTGTGTGTGTCTCTGTGATCCTTCTTGATTGGGGCATTGGGGGGCCTTGTGTGTAGGGTATCGGGGTTTTGTTCAGGCGACGCATGTTCAAGCCTCGAAGTGCTTGGAGGCCTCCAAGAGATCTCAAGCCTTAGCCAAAATACCGAACTTACAGCATGAGCCACGAAAGTTCGCCAAGGACCATTGCTGGGCACTTAGGGGTTTACCCAAAGGGTCCTGACATTTTTGGGGCCCGGACCTGCCCAGGTGGGTTTTCAGGAGCTGTCAAGTCAACAGCAGGCACATCAAAGGATAGAAGCTGAGGACCACTTCAGCAACATCTACTTGACGTGATAGTTACGGCGACGTGACTCAGTGTAAGTTTCCCTAAACCTTAAAGCCCTAAACCCTAAACCCTAAACCCCTAAACCCTAAACCCCAGGATTGACTTCCTAACCCTTTGTTCTGCGCTCGGAGGTTTGGGCACGCTCACCGGCGATGGTGATGGCGACGTAAGTGACCACGAGCAACAGGCAGCGCGGAAGATGTCGCCATGATTTGGCGAAGCTGATCTCACTAAACGATATGTACGTCAAGTGCTGGCTACTGGGGTCAAGCATTCGTGTCACGTCGACCCTAATTTCAAGCACCTCCGCTGTGGATGAGAAGAGCTGAGTTGCGAATCTGATGTTGAAATTCCGGCTGTTTACGTGGTCCCTAACCTTCTGCCTAACGACGACAAAGACGACATACGCAGCACTCTACTCCTATCGGTGTTACTGGTGCCTACTAGTGGTAGCTGCCAGTGCATTCTTACCACTCGCATATTTTCAACCATAGCGATTGCTTGCAGCTGCTGCGGCTGTCCCTGGGCCACACTCCTAAAGCATGTCGTCGCTGCTGAAACACCTTTCCACTGCCGTCAGTCCTCTATACCATGTGCCACAACTGCCAGCGTGGTCTTGTTCGTCGTTGTCTCACCGTGCTTGAATGCTCAACCCAACCCTCAAAAACCTGCATAAAACTTCTTAAGCCTGAAATGAAAAGATCAATCGACCCTCAAATCGCACTCATTTTAGTCCTGTTGCCTGGGCCCCTGCCCTTCGGTTTGCAATTCGACATACCGAAGTCTAAACCCCATAAGCTTCAACGAAAAAACAGAATACCGAATATAGCATGCCTTCAAAGACCCTAAAAGCCCAAAGCCCTTTGAAAAGCAGCAAAAAGACCCAATGAGGCCGTTTATCTTGGCTCAAAGATCCCAAATAATCCGTAGCTCGTAACCCTAAACCCTAAACCCTAAACCCAAATAGTTCGACTCTCAAGGAGCCGGAGCTTCCTCCGCTAGAGGAGCCCGGCGATGCGAAGGACGCCGGCGTGGGTTTGTGTATGATTGCGTTTAGGGTTTAGGTGTTTAGGGGTTTAGGGTTTTAGGGTTTTAGGGTTTTGGGGTTTTAGGGTTGCAAAAAAAAGGTTTTAGGGTTTTAGGGTTTAGGGTTTAGGGTTTAGCGTTTTTGTTGTGTGCTGAAGGGCTTCGGATTTTAGTTGCATTCTTGAGGCTTAGTTTTGTTTTGGACTCACGAGTCGTAGAGTTGTAGGGTCTCGATTTTTGTTGTGTTATCTCTTTCCGTTTTGGTTTTGGTGATTTAGAATGTTATTTGTTGCGGGGAGGGGGGAGGGGGAGGGGAGGAGAGGGAGGGAGGGAGCAACTTGTATGTCTTTTCACGAATTCATGAAGCCTTTCGCAAGACTTTTCAGTTTATGAGCTGGGTTGGTTTCATCAAGCTCTTCCACCTGCAAGAGAAGCAGCAGTAGAGCTAATAAACCCTAAACCCTAAACCCCTTAAACAAAAAAAAAACTTGAACTCCAAACTTCAACTCAACACTGAGTGGCAGGAGAAGCCCATAGAGGAGTCAGAGGATCCTCCGGCTGCCTCCTGAGTTCCCAGAGACTCCAATATTCCTTAATTAGGGCATATTCCTTAAATTATAGTAGGATCCTTAATATGATATAAGGTATATTCCTTAACTAAGGGATATTGGAGTCTCTGGGTTGCCAGCCTTAAAGCGTTACGACACGGATTTGTACTGCCTTGAAGTACTCATGCCTGCAGCTCCTTCGCACATCAGAAGCTCTCTTCGAGATGTTGCTTAGCGCGTGCGGCCGGGAAAGGCTAGAGAGCGAGCTAGTAAAATCCTTTCTCCGAGCTCGACTCAACCTCAAAGCCTCCGATCCAACAGTAGTAAGAACACAGACTACTTCAAAAAGACTTCGTAGTTATCCTACGAAATCCCAAACGCCCCAACAGAAAACCCTGAACCCTAGAACTCCTCAAGAGCTCGATGCCAGGTGGTTGAGGTGGAAGAGCCCCGGATGGAAGAGACGGTCCAGGACGAGGGGGGCTGGAGCCAACCGTGAATTTTTTGAAACCCTAAGCGCCCTTTCCAGGGTATTAATGGGGTAATTACGGTAATTAGGGTTTAGGGTTTTAGGGTAAATAATGAGCTATAATACTTTAAGGATTTTCGGGACTTTTGGGCTCCATTGAGGAGTTTTCCCGTAGCTTTCTAGTGGTGCTGGTGCGCCGGCTTGCCTTGTCTTGGGAGCTCCCAAACAGCCCGGGATGATATGGAGGCCTCAAGAGTCAGACCGGGGGGCGCGTACACTGCAATGTGTGCTAGGGAACCCTATGTTTTGAAGAATCTCGGGTTTAGGGTCTAGGGTTTAGGGTTTAGGGTTTCATGATCCAGGAAACTTACGAAAAGCGACGTCGGAGCCAATGGCCATGGACAGAATCTACACATTCCCAGCCTAGGAGCCCAAACGTCCACTCCTTGAGCTGGATGGCGCAGGCCTGAAAGGGCGTCAGGCTTGGTGTATTCAAGGTCTGCGGGCTTTAGGTTTTCAGCATTCAGGATTTTAGGAGCCATTGGGCCATTGGGTGAAAATTTAACCCTATAAACCCGAAGCCAATTTCTGGACCCCGGTTGGGAGCCGAACTTCGTGCATATGCCTACGAAAAGGAATCGCCATAATGACCGGCCTTGGTCAATGATATTCTGTATTAAATAATCTCACCCCTGGAAGCTAAACTCGACTGGATCAGTAGAATCAGTAGAACTGAGGCGAGTTCCACACCTTGCTGTTTGGAGCCGGAAGAGATCGAACGCCCAACCTGGCCATATTTATTTTACCCACTGGCATACAAGATATTCACGGGCCGGAAACCCCAAGGCTCATCTCGAACCTGAAGACGAAACTACACTATACTATACTATACTATACTATACTATACTATACTATACTATACTATAATACTATATTATACTATATTATACTAGATTATACTATATTATACTATATTATACTATACCGTACCATACTATACTAGGATGTAAAGGCCGAAGGTCGAGGTGGGGATAGGCTGGGCCGGAGCTCAAACCATTGGGCTCTGGGGTAGAGCTTAAGGCGCTGATGCCTGGATCCATCTGGGTAATTCTCTAAACTAGGGTCCCTTTTTAGGTCCCCGATATAGTACGGCACCCTTATCAAGGGGACCAAAAAGTGACCCTTATTTTAGAGAGCGACCCATCTACGAGGTACCAAAACAACCCCTCCTAGGTAGGGGAGGTTTTCTCCAGCAAAACGGACATACGAATTCGGGTTCAACGTATGGTTTGCCCTGCTTTCTGGGCCGCCGCAAAGAGGGAAAGCGACTGCATAGTTTCGAAATTCCTGTTCAAGAAGACTCAGAGAGCCCAATACCCCTTAAGTAAGGAATATACCTTAAATTATAGGGGCCTTAATATTATGATTTAAAGTATAAGGAATATTGGGCTCTCTGAAGACAGACTGGGGGGTGGGATTGATTTGTAACTCGACGCCAGGTCCGCGCTTTGAGTTGTATGATTTTTAGGGTTTAGGCTTTAGGGTTAGCACTGGCCTGCTTCTGACAACTATCTACTTGTGGGCTAGGGCTGCCTGCTGATGGAATCTTCACACTGAGCCTTCTACTCTTACTCGAGTTATTTAGTTTTAGCGCCTCTACCTGTCCACGAAGTGTTTCCCACTGCTTTTAATTCGCTGCGAACAGTTATTGTCCGAATGGTGGTTTGGATAGCTGAGCATGATTAGCAAGTCGTTTCCTGATGTTTGCCTCGTGCTTATCGAAAGGTATGCATAGTACCTGAGCCTAGCCTTTATCACTGACCAAGCTTGGCCCATGCGGTCTGCATCTTTATTTTGGAGAAGGATACTCTGCAAATTGCTGTAGTGGTATGCGGCACGCACCTGTTGATTAACGAGCCTTTCAACTTCTTGTGCTACTCACTACTCCGTCAAATGACCTGAAAAGCTGCGGTGAATTTCAATCGCCAATCTGAGGAAAGGAGCCCTCAGGCGATCGCTTTCTTTACACACGGATAAACATGCTCGTGTTTAGCAGATTCATCTCACAGTCATGGTTTTGATACAAGTTGAATATAGGTATCATTTTTGGATTCCTGTGGTTTGGTCCTTTAAACAGAGCAAGTGTTTCCTTAGTGTAGAGGCACATAGCCATCAAAACACAGATAGGTGGGTAGGCAGACGCATGTCGACCGACGTAGCTTACCCTTCGTAAGTCGGCATTACTTTGGACCGGACGTTACATCACTTCTGCTGCTTCAATAGTAGTATCAAGATCAGTCTTTAGATCCTTTGTATGTATTGTAAATATATTCCACAACCCCATTCTAGTTGATTAAGGCTGCGGTCATATCCACCCTGCACCGTACCTAAACCGCTGACCATTTAATCCTAGAGCCCTAAACCCTGAACCCTACACCCTGAACCCTAAACCCTAAACCCCAAACCCTAAACGCCACGGTTTTCCAACGAGTCTACATCACCTCTAACTCTCAACTTCTCAGAGTTATCCTAAATCCGGAACCCTAAACCCTGAACCCTGAACCCTAAACCCTTAACTCTCAACTGCTCAGAGTTTTTGTTTCTTCGCCCTTCGTAGAGGCGGCTCCTTGAGACTGGCACAGACAATGGAGGTTCCCCCCTCGATTGATGTCATAGGGGCCTTGCTCGTTTCATAGGTCTTCGTGGCTTTCGGGGGTTCGGGTTTTGGGGGACTTTGTGGGGCTTTAGGGTTTAGGGTTTAGGGTTTAGGGTTTAGGGTTTAGGGGCTTTAGAGGGGATTGAGAAGGGTTGTGTTGTGAGGGTTAAGCCTTGGGCTTTGGGTCTGACGGCATATCGTTTGTTTACGGGGCTTGTTGAGGACTTCGTAGGATTTTCGGAGGTTCTATACCAGGTTCTAGAGCTCCGGATGAAGGTGATAAGGGTGATAAGGGTTTGTTGTTTTCAAGGATTCAAGGATTTGGGTGTAAGGCTTTGGTTTTGAGGCTTCAGGGGCCTTACACGGCTCAGGGGGTCACAGGGTTTGTGTTTGTTAAGACCGAGGTTGCGTTGGGGAACAAAGGCTTTTTTGTGGTGTGGGATTGTTTGGGATCTAAAAATATTCGGTCAAGTTTGCTGAGACAACGGCTTCATTCTACTTTTGCATGGAGTCATACGAATGTTCGAATTGCAGGGCGAAGCAGGCAAGTGCTCGGCGGGCTTTGATGCGCCGTAATGGCTAATATAGAAGCCTGAATAATTGCCTATGAAATTTTGTGGGGTTCCTTATTATGCGTATAGTATTTAAAATGGACCCCGAAACCCTGTTCTATTCTAAGTATTAAGGCCCCTATATTAAGTTAAGCCGGTTCTACTTTCACGTGCTTGCGTGGGTTTGGGTTGAGCCTGTTGCCGTGAGGGAGAACCAAGAAGCAGCCGGGCCATGCTCTACTATAGGGGGCTAAATAATTGCCAAGACTTTTTTGTTGTGGGTGGGTGGGGGGGGGTCCTTATTATAATTA